CGGGCAAACTGAAACTGTAACAAATGAGGCTGTGCTTTTCTGTAAACTAGGCCCTGCAACGACGAAGGATGCAGCCCCCTTTAAGTAAGTATTGGGTTTCGGAGCGCAGCCTCCAGGAAGGGTTGGCAAAGTTGTCTAGAAGCAATAACCAACAAAGCTGGTGATGTGCTTTTTGACGCCGTGCGTTTGTCTGCTTCATTTTCTTTCCTGCAGTGAGGCGTAGTTCAACGGACATATTGCACGAACAACTGCATTGAAAGATATGACAGCAGACGACCTGCAGACTCCTGTTGGAGGTGCCCCGCAAGTAGCTGCCGTCCCTACCATTCTAATTGCAGGTTTGGTTGCTATGCTGACAGTCGTCTCTACCTAGAGAGGGAAACTTCCGTAAGCTGCCTAGATAGCCACCAAATTTCCTCGTCGGCTAGTCTGCAGAGCACTCTTTGTCAACCCCGCCACGCTTGTTAGCTTCAAGCTGTGAAGCTCGAAGGAGGAGAAGTAGACTGTGCAAAACAATTAAACTGATTATTTAAAAAACTAATAAAACAAAATGAGCGTGAAGGATGAAGATTAAGAAGGAAGGGGAGATCCGGTGCCGACCTGTTGGTCCCCGAGGCTGGGCACGCGGCCCGTAAGCGGTGAGGTAGCCGCAGACTTGGTGGATTTTCAAGTCAATTCGGGTTTACACACAACTGGAAGTTAAACGAGTAGAGGATAATCAAAAATGAGGATAAGAAGGGGAGATAAAGGTAGGGGCCGACGTTTACGGTGATGCTAGGTGAAGCCAGTGTGTAGTGCGTGTAGTGCGGCGCTGTACAATGCGGTGGAAGTATGGGTTGACCTAGAGACAGAGACAGTATTAGTTAGTTACACAGAGCGATACTGCTTGCTTTACGGCTCGATACGCGGACAATCCCTTAGTAGGGTAGCTGAATAGAACAGCGGTCAGTGGGTTGTCCGCTGGTCTACTGAGAGTAGCCAGTGTCGCTGGCGCCCTAGGCATCCACTGTATGGAATAATTTTCGTGTTTTTTCGGTAACCGCTTAGGGCGCATTCTCCATCAGTATGTGTGAGTACTGGAATTTCAATTTTTAGCCAAAGTGCAGGAGGCATACCCTGAGATGCCTGCTGAGAAGGGGTGCTACAGAACCATACCAGGAAGAAGTTGCACACACATCACGAGACACGCTACTTCTAGGCAATCAACTAACACGAAAATCTACGAGAACACAGATTCAAAGGAAATTGTTTGTATGCTCTACATATAGAACGCAGTTTTGGTTTGCTCTATCAAGTAGAGTTGCTCACATAGATACGAGACGTCCTGTCGTGTGTGAAAACAACGATGCGTTAGTTCTATTGGTTTCGTTGGACAGGCGATGCCGATTATTATATAGAACACTGGAGATTGTGTTATCAGTTACACCTAGGTCAGTTAGCGGCAACCTGATGGAGCGGATTTCCGCACAGTGCCCACCAGCTTGAATAGGCCGCGAGGAGGGGTGCACCGGCGTCTGCATACATTTTCGAGTCAGCCAAAGTAGGACAAACGAAAACTAAACATCCAGACAGGTGCTCTTTACTCCCATCTCCTTTCTCAGCTATGCCTGATTTGCATGAACCTACGACCGTCTAAAGCCTCTTCGTACCCTACGGTGCCTCGTCGCAATCTCTTTGCACGTAACAAACCCCTATACTAACGCCTTCTGTAGTGACGCATTCCGTTGAAATTCCACCAAAAAAATGGTAATCAATAACTGTACATTGCTTTTAAATTAATAAACGCGGTTTTCAACAGGGATTATGAGAATCCGTTGAATGCGATGCCGCTGCCACGGGGTAATGGGCGCGGCGAAGCGAAGGTACAGAACAGCAGGGGAAATCAGCTGCTCTTTTAAGTACAGTGCACAAAGAAAACGGCAAACTCCCTATGTTCAATTGTCAAGCGAAACTCGACGTTGAACTTTAAATCTGAGGCTAGCTCACTGTCTAGCTTCTCTATGCAGAGGCAAATGCCACTATAGCAGTTAAGCCTGC